TTTTTTTTCTTTCTCTCTGTGTGTGTGTGTGTGTGTGTGTGTGTGTGTGTGTGTGTGTGTGTGTGTGTATTATTAAATATGTAAATAAGTATTTATTAATATTAAATGCATGTATTAAATGTAATTATAATGTAATAACAATGTGTATAGTTAAATGATACATGTATTTAATATTTTTAAATATTTAACAACACACCTATAAATACATATATAGGTTTATGCTGTTAAATATTTAAGTGTTTAAATATGTTTATACATGTTTTCATTTTAATATATGTTTATATAATTGTCATGTTTTTATGCAGATTGGTATAGAAATCTGATCACAGTTAGTTTTATATAGGCCTACTCTACATCACACTCAAAAAGAGTGAGAGACAATAAAACGACACATAGTTTGTTGTATAATAAGGTCATTTTTTTAATTAAAAAAGGATTTAATTATGTTAAAATATGTTTTTAAAGCACATTTTTGTCTCTCTCTTTTAAAAAAAAAAAAAATAATAATAAAACTAAAAAGTCCATTCCATCTTTCTCCACAGCTCCTATGTACCATAACTACAACATCAATACAAAATATCGAAATATGTGTAGCGATCAATTTCATGAACACGAACCCTCATATCCCTCAAACTGGAGCATGACATGGGCTGCATTGTTCTTTTGAATCTCACAAATCTCACAGTTTCGTTACTCCATTAAACTCTGTCTGTCTTATGATTGCTAGGACTTAGATATCGTATCCCCATTCCAAGATTCTCCTATGCGCAGGCCGGTTCCTTATTTGCCTACGAGGAGCGATGTAATAGGCAATTGCTGATATAACCCCTCTCCCGACCAAACAACATGGGCAACCAAAAGCAATCTGACTGCATATCATTGTCTGCCTATATTGAGTGTTTCCAGACACATACCTGGTGATGATGGGCAGGCATCAGAAATGATTAAGTATAGAATTGGAGAGATATGCAGAGGTCCTGGCCTTATTTGAACATACATACTTTTGCATTGATGCGCGAGGGAGGGGCTGATGACGGTGCTTTGGTATGCCACCATCTTGCCGCTCCACGCAGTTAGCAGAGAACAGCTGTTCATTTGAAGCTGCCTGCACCTTTTCTTGACCCCATTTTGTTCTGCGCGGTAGCTGAGACAGAGAAGGAATTAGTTGTATTACTGTCGCCCTGCCGCTGTGTGTGTTTCTGTGATTCCACTTGTATTCTCTCCATTACCGTGGCCCCTCTGTCTGATTAGGCACAACACACTCACTAACATGCCAAATCACTAGTGCGTACCACAGCCTAGAGCCAGGCTTTGGACATACACACTCACACATCCGCTCACGCACGCTTGAATACACACTTCCAAACCCTGCCACCTGTCAGAATCACATCCGGAATGAAAAACAGGCTATTGATGTCCATTTATCTTTGATTTGTGCGACTTTTTCAGTTCTTACATAGCCTACCAGAACTTGCGAAAAAATTATTGAGAAGAAATCTCATGCATAGATTAGAGATGGTGAGTTTGTCTTGTAAGGCAAGATGAAGACAAGAAATACTCATATGTTTGACCCGTTTGTTGTGTATTTTTCTATTGCATTTTCAATTACAAGAAATTACAAGATGTTACTGTAAAAAAAGGACGACTTTCAGCGCAACGCATGAATAAAATATCTCCAGGGGGGGAAAAAATCTATTGCCACTCTTTCTTCTATTGACTTGAAATTCAAAAGGGAGAAAATTCTGGCGAAATCACCTGCATTTCTTTTATAATATTCATTTAAACAAAGCTTTGGCTAAGTCATATTGATTGTGTTCTGATTTAAAAGTACCTGAGGCAGGGTGTCTCTAATCCGAAGGCTCTTTTAAAAATCACCTGGTCAGACAAATGGGACCTTTTAAAGGAGTATAATGTGTTCTTAAATTATTTTATTGATGGGAAGTGGGATGGCCTCCGCAGGTACCCATACAAATGTTTGGAGCACACTGTGAAAGGGTCAATTTGTGCTCCATTTTCCATTTCTTCATTATCTGCCTTTAAAGCCGTGCTGAGTAGCTCAGTAGGGCTGCAAGAAACTTCCACCCTCGTGCATTTACCACTGCCAACGTTCGCCTCCCTGTCGATTTATAAACGCTTTAATCGCCAAATCATAATTTGTAGTAAATTGTGGTTGTTGGAAATAGCAGTTTACAAGGTTTAGACATGCGAAAGTGAGACGTATACATATTATATATTTCAAAAATGAGCATAGCTAAGGACGTCTTGGATTTCTTGCTATTAGAAAATAGCTTAACTGCAGCTCTGCTCACTTGAAAGATAATTTTGCAGTTGCTTGTTCCCTAGAGACCTAGAATATACATATTACTGAGCATTAATGAGCGAGGATTCCTTATGTTTTCTGTAATTATGTGTCAATTTGCAATAAAGACAAATAACAGGGTTACTTTTGCTCCACCGTGGGTTTATTAGCAGTGAGGCCTGTATGACCCTGACATGAATGGGCTGAATAGCGTCTCCAAATGACAGGTTAAAATGCACTTCCACTTACATTTAAACTTCCATGTTGGCACTTCAATTTAATAATGCAGTCATCATTTGTAAATGACTCCTCTTTCAGAGTCCATTAAGAAGTTTGTTTCCTCTGTTGAACTGAGAGTCAATAGGTGTAATAAGGAAGTGCAGCCCATGCGACTCAGAGGATTGTGGGGGTGGGGGAGCTGATGAGAGATTGCTCTATGAACAGGCTAATTAACGTCTGCTTGCCCAGACTCGTGGTAAAGTGGCACATTTGTGCTTTAGCAGCCGTCGTTTTGTGACTGACAGGGACTTAGGTTGTAGATTAGTGGAAAAATGGGCTCTTAATTAGCTGCTAACAGTAGGTGATGCTTACAGATGGGGAATAAGTTAGTCATAATCAGTGTTAGGCCATTCGTAAGTGAATTTATTTATTATTTTTGTTGTTATTATTTTAATTCTCTCATATAGAACTGTGGAAAGCTGGAGACAATGAAGGGCACACATGCACAGACTGTAAATGCAATGATGGTTGCTTTTCTTTTCACACATATATACTGTAGATGTACACATAAAAGAATGTCTTGGTGATCATAGGCCTATTTATATATACATGCATGTATAATATACACTATATATATACTGTATGTATGTATATATTGCGTGAACATTTGGGCGGCGTTATGCAAATCTTCCCACATCGTGACGTAGACATGTGGGGGCGTGTTAGAACGAGCCGTTTTAGGTTGACTCTTAACTTTTATAAAGAATATCTCTTTGGATTTGAGACTTTAGTCTTTGCAACTTTACAGATCTTCTTTATGCACCAAGAGCTTGTAACACTCCAAAGAGAAAGGAAAAATTGAAATCGCATCATATGACCCCTTTAAATGCAAATTTGCAAGTAAGTTGCTTTTCATCACTTTAATGATAAAGGAAAGAAATTGCAAATTATATCTCCTTAATATCGCAGATGTTTCTCCTAAAGAGATAAAACAGCATACTTTTGCGTAAACTTATTATTTCTCAGATTTTTCATAAGAGACCTTGTTTTGTGTTGTTTCTTTTTTAATGAATAAAATTAAAATAACAACAACGTCTCTCTAATTTGACAAAATACCAAAGTCTGAAATCAAAATCCCATTCACTGTGGTAGGATTCCTACAATATATAACCCAATAAAAAAAATAAAACAAAGACAGAATTTAGCTGTTTGGAAAAGTTTGAGCCTCTTGCTGAGATAAAATTGCTGCGTCTCATTTCGGAGGCCGTGTCCTCCTGAGGTTGCATTTGTTGGGCACATACATCATTGAGGTGGTCTCATTTGAGAAAAGTAACCGTTAGATTGAAAAGTAAGAATGAAATTACAGTATTTTACACCTCCCAAGGAATAAAATCCAATTGTATTACCTGTACTTTTCTTGAATGAGACCATCTCAATGACGTATGCAAACAACAAATGCAATCTCCGGAGGACACAGCCTCCAAAATTAGACTCAGCTAACCACAAACTGGTAAAAGGCCTGTTTCAATTACAACAGTGATTATGAAATCTATTCAGCTGCCTCGGGTCCAAATATGAAGCCACTAAGCAAGCCTTCATGTCCCATGGCACTTTCCCATTGCCCTCGTGTGATCCTGTCAGCGTGAGGCTCAGCCAGGTTGAATGTGGAGGTCTAAGATGTTGAGTACAACATGGTCATATAGAGAAAAAGAGTGTCCCCCTGGCTCAAGCTTTTCACCGGGATGTATCCGCTGAACCGTGA